CACCGACAGTATCTTATAATCGCCAATACACAGTCTATTACGCCTTAAGGGCAATTTCTCAAACACCGCCATATAACTCTTTATTAATTACTTAACATGACATGGACACATTAATAACACCTTCTATTGAAGTTAATAGGACATTATATTTACGCTACTAGACATCATATTACGCTACTAGACGCCTGATTCGGACACGAACATAAATGAATACACTCCACGTAAGTAACTCATCCCATGGAAAACTCTGACAAACACTCACGTGACCTAGGAGGCCTAGCAGGTGGTCCTGGGTTGCTCTCTATGGGACTGCTTAGCTGGCAACGGAGGGAAGTCTCAGTCCTGACCGGAGGCGACTGCCTCCGGTCAGGACCGCCTCTAGCGCCTGGTGTAGTGTAGCTGGCCCTTCCTCCCCTTACAAGACACACTCTCTCTCTGTCAATCTTCTCCCCAGAGGGAGGACTAGGACGCCCTCTATTGGAGGCGAGCAGCCAGGTTGAGCTGATCGGGGCGTAAAGGGTCTCTTACATTTGCCCTCGCTAATGTAGAGTCAGGTCTGGACTTTTCAGAGACTACAAGTTGTATATTCTGGATTAATAACCCTTGGTCAGCCAAGAAGATTCTATCTCACACTTGACCCCCTAATGTCGGGTCAAGTCTGGACTGTTTCTGAGATGTGTTGTACTGACAACCCATCACATATATATATATATATATATTATATATATATATATATATATATATATATATATATATATATATATATATATATATATATATATATATATATATATATATATATGATAACCACAAGGAAAGAAGAAAACACAAGTTCTCCAAGCGCTTTTCGTAATTCACATCTTCAGGTGAGTACAGTGATTACTTCCATATATATATATATATATATATATCTTGATAAAATCACCGAAAAATGGAAACAACCGAAATCTTAGCTTTCGTCTTTATTCAAGACATCTTCAGATTTACTTGCATATATATATATATATATAATATATATATATATATATATATATATATATATATATATATATATATATATATATATATTATATATATATATATATATATATATATATATATATATATATATATATATATATATATATATATATATATATATATATATATATATATATATATATATATATATATATATATATATATATATATATATATATATATATATATATATATATATATATATATATATATATATATATATATATATATATATATATATATATATATATATTTTCATAACATTATGAAACGTGGATAAGATAAATCTTGATAAAATCACACGGGAAGATGGAAACAACGGAGTACCTTAGCTTTCGTCTTTATTCAATGCAAATTATAATCTCCAAACTTTAGTCTGAGATATTATATAAGATAAAAACTGTAAGCCTAAAAGCCTGGCTGGGGGGGACTGACGGGACAGCTACACCACCCAGTGAGGGTGGGGGGAGGTTGAGGTGATAAGTTTGAGCCAAAGGTCTCTGTGTTTATTTAACAGCCCTACTAAGCTTCTCTCATTTTAAAATGCCAGTGATATGAAATAAGGTTTTACTTTTAAAATAAGACAGGTAAAAGATCTTGCAACTAGAATTAAACAACACAAATACAGTGTTAGGACAGGCCAGAATCCAATGCTCTGTTTGTTCATTTGAGGATAACAAGAATCGATTGACTGGGATAATGCCTCCTCAATATTACCTTGTAATTCAATTGATAGTAGAACATCATAAATTAGTCTTATTAAACATACCGAAGCATTCAATATGAATTTGAGTAACGGCTTGTACAAACTGGACAATTTTAATTAATAAGATTTTTAACCAGGTGAGAAGGGCAGGTCACCTTACCATCTGACCTGACCACCAACCTTGTGTGCTATTTAAAGATTAGTAGGGTCATTACCCAATACCTGACCATTATGGACCTGGTCTCACTCTCCTCTGTATATATACACCTTGTTTTGTACTTCTTTAGTTCTGACTCACCCCGAAGATGTGAATTACACTAAAGCGCTTTGGGAACTTCGTTTTTCTGGTTATCAGCATATACCTAGATCACGTGCAACCACAGTGATTTACTATATATATATATATATATATATATATATATATATATATATATATATATATATATATATATATATATATATATATATATATATATATATATATATATATATATATATTTGATAAAATCACACGGAAGATGGAAACAACGGAGCTACTTTTCGTTTTTATTCAAGACATCTTCAGAGGCTATGCAATTATAGCATATTTATATTCAAATTAATCAGTAATGCTACAAGAATCCCAGCATGTTAATTATATTCACCCAGGTCATTTCACTGGCTTTTTATAGGAGAGAAGCTTAGTCACTTAAGAGCTGATAAATATATCGCGTTAGACCTGGGCCTGTGCCAACTGTCAACGATTACCTCCCCACGCCCCCTCGCTCGCTCCCACCCTCTCCTCCCCATTTGCTTGGCGTTGCTGGAATCCTTGTAAAACCGTGAATAATTTTAATATAAACGTCATGTATTTTGCACAAGTGATAAAAATTAATCACCTGTATCACATTACAGTAGTGATTTAAGAGTAAAAGTGTATATGTACGTATGTAGTATTCCACGTACACGTAAGTATAAATAAAAAGTTTGTGATGATCGGACAACGTCCATTTCGGTTAACGTCACGTTCCCAAGAACGTATATATAGCTGATATACATGTATTGGATGTACAATGCAGCTTGGTGCTGGGAAGTGGCAGCGTGGCTACAAGCGTGATGTAGAGAGAGCTGGTTGGTGAGGACGCTCAGAGAAGGACAGCTTGTGGGTCGCCATGCTCGCCAGGCAGGCGGTGGAGGAGCAAGGGCCGCCAGGCAGCGGCGGAGGAGGTGTTGCTGGCTGGTTGGTGTGGGTAGAAAGAGAGAGATCACCACGAGGTCAGGTCTTAAATAGCGGGGGTTGGCGTGGCTTAGTAGTTGACCCCCGCTCCGTGATGTATGGCGGCGCTGGTTGACCTAGACCACGAGGCATACACTGGGGAATTGGTGGGGTCGGCTACTCAGCGACAAACAGCGTTTGTAGGGGAGAAATCCACTACAAACGTATCTAGGACGTTAACCGGCACATGAATATATATATATATATATATATATATATATATATATATAGTATATATATATATATATATATATATATATATATATATATATATATATATATATATATATATATATATATATATATATATATATATATATATATATATATATATATATATATATATATATATATATATATATATATATATATATATATATATATATATATATATATATATATATATATATGTTGATAACACAAGGAAAGAAGAAAACACGAAGTTCCCAAGCGCTTTCGTGTAATTCACATCTTCAGGGGTGAGTACAGACTAGAGAGAGTAATACAAATCAAGGTGTATATATACAGAGGAGGGTGAGACCAGGTCCACAATGGTCAGGTATTAGGTAATGACCCTACTAATCTTTAAATAGCACACAACGGTTGGTGGTCAGGTCAGATGGTCAAGTGACCCGGCCTTCTCACCTGATCACAAATCTTCTTAATTACAAAATTGTCCAGCTTGTACATGCTGTTACTCAAATTCATGTTGAATGCTTCGGT